TTATGGAGAGCTATCATCATGGCATGGAACTTGTAGCTTTTGATTTTTATAAGCACTTCATTTCAACATACAAAAAAAAAAAGAGGAAGAAATATATTTTAAATCCTTTTTGATTGTTTAGACTGAATTTTCAGTCCTTTGCTTATATTAAGCATGACGAAAGGGTACAATGAATTTCTAATGATCTGCACAAGTACTATTCATATGATGTGAGGACACCTCTAAACCACCCGAGGTAATCTAGCTTTTTCCCAGATTTGCTTCTCAGCAGTTTCTTTACTGTCATCCAAGGATACTGGGTGACCTTTCTTATCCTCCACACTTGAGTTGGGTGGATATTGATTGGGTCAGGCACAGAGAGATTTTTGAATGACTTTACACACAATTTTTTTGATTATCCTTGCTTCTACTCCCCTTAGTGAACAGATTAATAATCAGTAATACACTGCTGAATTATTCTTTTCTGTGTAATTAGGTACAGCTACAATTAATTTAGTTTATGATACAAATATCATTACATGGAATAGGAATAGGAAAGTCTCCCCTAATTCTACCCTCTTCCTTTAGCCCTGCCGAAATACAGAATATGGAAAAGATGAAGGGCAATTCAAAACCACATGAAATATCTACACACATTGTAATAGCCTTGTAGATATGAAGTAATTTTGCTTGTGATAAACACAATAAAATGACAATTGAAACCCATTTAAAAATACTTGTGAGACTTTGGGCACAGTACCTGGCACATAATAAGTGTTTAATAAATGCTTCGTGGCTTGCTTACTTCCTTTGAAAACTTTGCTGAGTTAGAAAGGGCAAAAAAAATACAATGAACATGGTTTCTTCCTGGGCATGAGCTTTTTTATCCTGCTTATCTGAACTCAAAACTTACAATCCCAGAAGTTTTGAATGTCCCTAAATGCTTCTCCCTTAATGATTATTTATAGAGTTATCTGTATATTTGTCCCAGGCAGAGAATTCTTCTATTTAACTTAGCCCAGGCCAGGATTTCAAGTTGAACATAATAATATATGACGAGACAAAGTCAATTGAGAAAGGAAGAGTTCTGAAGGAGAAAATTGTATTTAAAGATGCAAAGTGGTCTGATACTTAGCTTTTCACCATAGACAATATGCTGTACAATAATAAGGAAAGCTAATGGTGGCAGAATCAGGATTTATGACTGTCAGGATGATATTAGGAATGAGGATAGAGTTTATCTGGGAATATCAGAATAATCTCAGTTGGAAAGGGGAGTAATTGAAAGAGTGACCAGAAATGTGTGGTGAGAACAGAGGCAGTATGAAGAGCAGCTTGAGGGAGGGGGAGTGGTAATAAGAGAGGTAATATTCACAGAGCTTTGAGATAAAAGGGCAGAATCCTAAGTACTTTATTAGCTAAGTACCAACCAGGAAAACCTACTTCAACCCACTGATAATGGCTAGGTTTACTTTAGGTATTTTCAGGGCCATTGACTGCCTTATCCTAAATAGCCATATCCAGTTATCTGATTTTATAGGGTCCCATGCTTTAGTCACATGGAAATAAGCAGTCATTACCCCCGTGGAATATCCAGATTAGATATGAGAGGCAATTGTATATGGAACCTGGTTTAATTTTTATGTGTGTTCAGAATCAAAAGAGTTCAAAGAATGTTTTAATGAATAGTAAGGGCATTCCTTTTTTTCCAAGAACATTTATATTTGGAATATCAGGCGGTTGTTTAAAAAAAAACCCATTTATTATAAAAGATTAATTTTCATTTAGCAAGTATTTCATTCTTGTGAATGTGCTGGCCAACATTTCTTTGTCTCTTTCATGGGATGACTGTCAAGGAATAGTCAAAAAACAAATCTTAGTAACATCCTGTTAGAACCTAAGACCTTGATGATCCCTGATCCATTCTCTATCATGGATGGGTTTTTCAGAGTCCTTGTAGGCTTGCTATAATGTTATGTGCTGTAGGTAAGCAGCAGCTCTTTCTGCTACAGAGCCATCTCTTGCTTATCTGCAAGCTTACATATCTTCTTTGCCCAATATATAATTTGTCAGTGCACTTAAGGGCAAGGTCTGAATGGTAAACCAAATATTGTTCCATCTCTTCCCTCCTGCCCATTTCTCTATTTTGATTCCCTATCGTCCTCATCTACCCTCATTATTTAAATGTTCAGAATCAGGATATAAGATACTCTTTCATTTGCCAAATGAAAGTAATATCTTCTCCTGTACCCCATTACTCCTTGTTGTGAGGTTGAAATAAGATTTGAAGATTTGTGAGATAAGATTTTAAAGTATACTCTGTACATCACCATCAAATACCTCCTTTAACTCTGCATTATCATCTTGTATGTAGAGAGCTTGAAATTGACAAAAGCTTTTAAATGCATTATTTCATTTGATCTTTGAAATAGCCATGAAAGTAAGCAGGATTACAGCATGGCCAGTGGCTTTTCTCCTTGTATTCTGGCCACCTACCACAACATCTTGATGTTCGTAGATGCTTAATTCATTTGTTATATTGAACTTTATGAGAAAACTGAGGCACAGAAAGCTTATGTAATTTACATAAGTTTTAAAGTTTTAAACATGTAGTTATTGGTAAAATGAAAGCAAAATCTAAGGATTCTGAATCCTGGTTCACTGCTGTTATCTCTATATAGTGCTGTATGGGAGTGTAATATGGGCCATATGAAAGCTTTGAACAAATGCTTTGAGTGGCTTACTATCCTAGCCTGGCTTTACTGTCAGCATGTATACAGCCTGTACATGCCAGAAAGACCACCTGTCTTGCTTGTTGACGATTTTCTCCCTGAGAAACACTCATGACATTATAAATAATTATCAAGCCAAACAGCATAGAAATTGAGAAGCTGTCATGCAAATAGGAGTCATAACTAGCATACGATCATATAATTAAGGATAAGAAATGGGAACAGAATTCAAAAGGTCTGGCTCATCCTTTTTACACTTATTTTCCCATATGTAAAGGATGCAAAGTTGTAGACTTTGATATTATCAATCAGTTTGCTATAAATTCACTTATGTTCTGAGATAGAGCAAAGTCTGCTCCTTAAAACAGACTTAAAATTTCTGGTAGTTAGACTATTTGTAAAAGTCAAATTGAAGTTCGAAGGAGTGATAACCCCAAGATAGATTAAACTTTTGAATTATTGAGATTATTGCTAAATACGAAGTTAATAAGCTGTTTGTGGGTAGGTTTATAGACTTCTCCATGTAGTTGGTTTTTAATCTTAAAACACTTTTAAGTGTCATTTTACTTTGGTTTTTCCTAGTTTAACCTTGTATGATTTGTAGAGTAGAATAGAGGTAAAAATTTAAAATACACTTTAAGGTTTGCAAATGAGGTTATGCTACCTCATTTGATCTCACAACAATCTTATGAGGTATAGGTATTGTTACTATGAGCCCCATTTTACAGATAAATAAACCAAGGCTCACAGTGATTAAGTGACTTGCCAGGGGTCACATAGCTGGTTAATGTCTGAGGGAGGATTTGAACTGAAATCTTTCTGGCTTAAAGTCTAGCACTCTAGTCACTATGTAGCTGGGAGTTGGACTCAGGCTCAGGCACTTACTAGCACAGGCAAGACTTTTTAGTCATTCTTTGTCTCAGTTTCTCCATTTGTAAAATGGGTTAATAGCATCCACTTCAGGGATATTGTGAGGATCAAATGAAATCATGTATGTAAAGCATTTTGCAAACCTTAAAGCCACTATATAAATGCTAGCTATTATTATGTAAAATATGTATTAATAGAGCTCTGAAATCCAGATCATTATTGTCATTTGAAAGGGATTCAATGTAGAGAAAAATTAAGTTTTTCACTTTGGCTTTTGATGTATTTTCCAAATACTGGTTTAAAAACAAGTTTGCATTCATCTTATATATAAGTCCTGTATTCTGATTCTTTTAATTGTTAATTGAAAGGTTCCATTCTCATTCTCAGTTAAATTCTACATGGTGTGTAAGTTCTGAAATTAGTAATAATTCCAGAGAAATTTTCTTTGATTGCTTTACCTCTGAATAGCCCATAACTGTTGATAGATATATGGTAACTACATGTATTAAATTTTTTTGGGGGTAAAATTATAATTTTGATAATGTGGTAGTACAGAAAAATGATTTGGAAATAAGTGCAGATCGGTAATCTTTCCAATTAATTTAGGTTTAACAGGCTATATTTTGCAAATTGCATATTTAAGTTATTTTATTGTGAAGCCTCATTCATTTGTAATAGTGAAGGGCTATTGTGCATTGCAAATGTTTGAAATGAATGGGAAATAAGAGGATGCCAGATTTCAGTTATGCTTGGAAAAACAGAATCTCTGTTAGTTAGAGCAGTCATCTCAATCTGGGCACTGTGAGAGAGTTCCAAGTAGATGGTGGAAATTGGAACACTAAAGCTCTCCCAACAGCTGTTTTGTGTAGTGGCAAAATCAGCCAGATCTCTGTGCTGTGACCTTCCTCTGTTCCTGAATCTTGCCTGCCTGTTCAGCCTCCCTAGCCCACCACACTGTTGTGATTTCAGAGGGGATATAAGAGTTTTAGAAAAGGAGGGGAGATTGAGAAGTGATACAGGAAATTTGAAATCACTAAGTTTGAAGCCCACTAGTGTAGTGGTAAGTACCCTGAAAAGTCGTCCCTGATTAGAGATTTGCTTCTTTAACAGTACGTCATTCACCAGAACAGCTGTGCTTAAAAACAAAACAAAAGTGTTTTCTCTGAGAATTTTCGGAAAGCTTACAAAGGAAGTACTGTGTTAAGTTGTTTTTGTTTGTTTTCAAATCTGTTTAGTTTTATTAGTTACTGGTGAATTGTGACCTAGGTGATTTAATACTTAGAACTTTAAAATGTTCCTGTTTGGGGTTTTTTTAAAATTGTGTTGAGACTATTTTAAAAGGCAATATAAATCTCAGTCATTTGTAATTTTAAAGATTGTTTACTTTAAAATGAGACTCTGCACTTTTTATTTTTTAAGATGGCCCTCCTGAAGTGCCTGTGACAAACGGTAGTACTACTACCATCACCACTACCCTGAATGATGACCTGGATATCTTTGGCCCAATGATCTCTAATCCTTTACCAGCAACAGTCATACCCCCAGCCCAGGTATGTTGAAGGGATTTGGTTTTGTATTGTCACTGTTTGTTCTTTTCCCATTGCTTCTGAAAAACTGACTAGCTGAAGTAAAGTGTATCTGTAAGCAAAGTACAGTTATAGAGTAGAGAGGTAAGGAACTCAAAGCCTTACGTTCTTCTTAAGTAGATTATGGACTTTCCTTGAGATGGTATTTGGTGTTATTCTAAGTGTTGTTATTCTAAGTGTCATGTCCTGTTTTTTTTTTTAATTTAAAAAAATTATTTCTAAAAATTATGAATTTAACAATCATTAACGAACACATTCATGCACACAAAAGACAAAAAAGAAGCTAATTATCTCTTTGAGAAGATTATCTCCATCCCTCCTCCCATCCTCCAGGTCCAAAGAGGGCCCCCCACCCCCCTGTTATTAAAAAGGTAGGTGTGTTTGGTTGTTTTATGTTCTAGGCCAGTCCTATGATTCAGGTCCAGGACTGGAGCAAAATGAATGTTCAAGTTCACTGATTATAAAAATAAATTTATTTGCAATTAGATATTTTAAAAAGGATGCTATATAACTCTATAAAATAGATACTGCCCTTCTCTGCCTCCATAGGCATCAGTGAAATAGCAGAGCTGGGGCAAGTTTAGTGGAATTCCCACTGCAGGGGAGTAGCAGGCTGGGGTTTTTATGCCTCATTTAACAGGAAAGCAATGCCAGTGGTCCAGGCCCTTGTCCCCAGCCCAGTCAGATTCCAGGGAGAGCCTCTTTAAGGGAATACCATCCCAACCTAAAAACAAATTTCATTTCTAGTATATTATTCTTGCTAATTTGTTTTAGTACCTGTGTCAACTATTTTGTATGGAGACATTTATATTAATGGTGAAGTAATTTGTTTTTGGTAATGCAGGATTTTAAAATCATCTTAATGGAATTTCTAAAGGGAAAATATGCACATTTTAAAGATCTATTCTACCATCAAGAAAAACATACCATTTGAGTCATTTTGAGTTTCATTTTAAACTCTTTATTTCCTCTGAAATAGGCAACAAAATATCTTCATTAAAATGTGTGTTATATATATTCCTGGAACATAGATTTCAGGCTGGAGGACACATTAGAAACCATTTAGTCCAGCTAACTCATTTTATAGAAGAGGGAAACTAAGTCCCAGAGGTTAAATGACTTTGGGTCATACAGATAACAAATGGCAGAGGCAGGATTTTACCTAGGTTCTGATTCCAAATCCTCTTTTCACCGTGCCACCTGACCATCAGTAATTTCTTTTTGAATAGGAAATGAAAATTTGTGAAAATCAGATTTATTTGGACAGAAAGCTTAATAAGAAAGCCATCTCAATTTTATATTGCATCATCAGAAAATAACTCATTCTCATTAGAAGCGGAGGTGCTAGTATATTTGAAAAGCGATGTATCTGAAATAACCATTAAAAGTCATTGTCAGCATTTTATTGCTTTGGAAGAATCTGTGTTTTGTAGAAAGATACCTTTTGATTTTATGTCTGTATCCCTTTAAAACTTATGAACTATTTAAAAACTTTGCAGTTATATAGTTTAATTGATGATGACTGCTAAATCATTCACATTTTGATTTGTTTGTGCAGAGATGAATGTGCATGAAACAATAAAAAATTAATACTACTCCAGTATTATGGCTTTCCAAAGAGAGATTTGGGATATTCGACAGTCTAAACATGAAAAGCAATTTATTTGCTCTGGCATTCTGGTGAGGCGGTTATATTTGCCAGGCTTCTTTGGATTCATTTGGGGTGCTCAGGTTGCTTTGCAGTAGCTCTAAGAATTACCTCCTCTGTGTTAGCCTCCAGTGTGCCATGTGCAATGTCTGCTTAGTATCTAAACCAATAATTAAACCATCAAGACTGAAACTTGTAAAAGGGGGCTCTGGGCAGAGGAACATTCTTTTCAGCACTGCTTTTCTTAAGAGAAGATCTTTGATATAGTCTATCTAATGACCCTCAACATACTGGACAGAAAATATTTTTAAGTGGACTGCTTTTCTTTTGTTACAAATTGCTTTTCAATCTAAAGTATATATATAGCTTGTACTTACGTTGACTTGGGGAGTGCTAGCACAAAATACAGTTCTATGAGTAAATATTCCAGCAATTTTCAAGGCTTATAATCTTGATTAAATGGCAGTCAAACATAGATTCAAAGAATAACTCATTAAGGTATGTTTTTAAATAGTGCCTTCTAAATGAAACTTATGATGACACTCAAACTTCTGAAACCTTTGAGATTGGACAATTCAAATGACTTTTCCTTGCAGCTACCAAGATTCACTTATAAGCTCTTTTAAGTTTCTATTTTAGAGCTTGAGCTTATGGTACTTTTAGCATAAAGGTCCCACTGTTTGATCCAGGACAGTTTTGGAAATTTTGCACCCCTTGTGTTACTCTGCACTGGATGCTTTCAACCTTCACTGTAACACAAGTGATTTCTTGCATTATATAATTGCCTGCTATCTGCTATGGGGCATTAAAATATGTACACTTATTAAAAAAATATGAAAATGTGCTCTGACTGCCCCTTACATAGAATCCAGTCATCATAGATTTCTGTGACAGAAACCACAAAGGTCTTCCATCGTTCAAGTCCCTCTGTTGCACTCTCTTATTAGTTAGAACAAAGTACGAGATTTCCCTGCCTCTACCCAGGGAAGTAACTGGTTTGCTTACATTAAAATTTGGTGTCCTCAAGGAACTTCCAGCATATGACTGGTTAAGTATACGCTGGGAGAAACTATTAAGGAGCTACAACACCTTAACATTGGTAATTCTAGGACTACTTATATCCAAACCTTTGGGTGGTAGAAACTGGAAACAATCTTCCCATGACCCCCCATAAGCCCTGCAGACTAGAATGGACATAGTGCCCTAAGCTTTCCCTAAGAAGGAAGCTGCCCTTTTGGTAAGGGAAGCATTGCTGCCCCAAGTACACATGTGATAGGCTTATCGAGGACACTTCTTTATCTGGCACTTTTTGACATGATGAATAGGTCATCAAAAAAAAGATGTGGATATTTGTGTGCTCAGTGAAGCATGTTATTTGATTTAGCTGCTTTCAGGTTCTGTCCATGTGAGGGAGGTTACTACTTGCCATAAGCAGAGAAAACATGCATTATATTTACAAGCTGTTGAAATGAGAAGTGTTCCAGTGACAGCTCTAGAGTAATTAATCCCCTACTCATGCCAGAGTTTTGACATGATTTTGTATCTAGTTAACCCAGTTCGAAAAAATATGGAGACTGCAGTGTCATGAGCAAATTTCTGACGTTGATGAGTAAAAATAAACAATGATAAAAGAAAAAAAACAAAAAACAACTTCGCTAACCCAAAGAGAACCAAGAATTGCTCACAAACTAAAGTTGTTTGGCTATATTTGAATTCATTGGTAGCACTGATTTCAATGATATTTAGAGACCTTTATCATATACAGTATTTCATATCTCATTTAAAATTTTTTAAAAGATCAGCCTGTAAGGGGAATTTGCTTTAGCTCCAAAAAATTTCCCTTAAAAAGTTTTACTGTTTGAATTACTTTAAAAATATCTAGACTGCCCTGGTTGTAATGTCGTCTTTCATGTCATGGGTATAAAATTTTTGGATTTTTCAGTTATAGAGATGTTGTAGATATAATACTTAGTTTCTATCCCTTCCTAATTTTTTTTAACTTGTAAAATAATCTTAGCAACTCAATTTTTATTACATTTTCAACATGATAAAAAGCTAGATGTAGGAGAGAGGGAACAAAACATACTCTATATAATAAATACTCAGTTTATTTTTTGTACCCCTTTAGTTTTTCCCAGCTAATAGAAGTGGGGTATGTGTGTGAATTATTTCCTTGGGAAAATGACTGAGTGTAGCCACCACTTGAGAGAAATAATTGAGGCAGCTAGGTGGCACAGTGTATAGAGTACTGGCGCTCTGGAGTCAGGAGGACCTGAGTTCACACTCGGCCTCAGACACATAACACTCACTACCTGTGTAACTCTGGACAAGTCACTTAACCACAATTGCCTCGCCCAAAAAAAAAGAAAGAATTCTGAACCTCTCAGCCTAGTGAAAAAGAGGACAATTCTTCTGCTACAGAATTTTAACCAATAGTTACTTTCACATTTTTCTCCACAGGAACCTGTTATCTCTAGGGTTTCTTTGAAAGAAAGCACAGCCACATGGTGATGGCTTGAATGCATTTCTATAGTATATACCTGCCCTTCATTCACTGTATTTATGTCCTCATTGCCCTGCATAGGACCTGGCACATAGTAGACATTTAATAACTTTTGATGCATTGAATAGTAGTGAGGTTTCAGGTCATTTTGTGGGGAGAAAAACAATACTCAGAAAATTTGATATTTATGGGAAGAGACTATATTTTCACAAAGTATCAAAGACTTTTTAGCTTGCTTTTATACTTAAAAACTTCAAGCAATCTGCATTTTTATCAGTATGTATATCCCTCCACCAAAACAGATCAGAACTGTTCCATAATTTAGAAAACTACCCTTAAGGGTTACTATGACCTAGCGATCCTTAGTCTTTGAAGGCAACTGCCTCTCTCTGGCGCTATATTCACTGGTGTTTTTCTCCAGAGCTTGTGCTACTTAGGCATGGCCCCTAAGATTCAGTCACTTGTACACCACAGTGAAACATCAGTAGGACTTTGGTGGAGCTAATATTTGGGTTTTTTTTTTTTATAGCTGGAGTACTAGTAATTGTTTTTTGGTTTGGACCCATGATTTCATTCAAGTAAGGGATTCCCACTTAGTTACCCTTTACCAGTACAAAAATGCAGCTTAAGAGTTAGCACCTGGTGGTACTAAAAGGTCAAATGACTTGCCCAGGGTCACAGTCAGTATGTGATTCCTGGTCTCAGGTTGACTGAGGCAAATCCTTCTGTGCCACTACTTATATTTTTATAAGTTTTTAATATATAAAATGTTCATTTAAAAATTTCACCTGTTGAAGAAAGGACTAAATATTTGTTGTGTGGGACAACAAATAAGAATCATACTGTTAATGTACCTTATAGTATAATGAAGTTTTTGGCAAATTTCAGAAAATATTTTTCAATTAAGTTAATTAAAACCTTGATTAGCCATAATGTTTGGGGCATTAGTTGTTTTGGTTAGTCAAATTAATCATTGTATCCATGTCCATTTCATCTTTTTTTTTTTTAAACTCTAAATTGTATTCATCTGTTCTCCTTCCTTAGTAGTCAAGAGCATACCAAATGTAACTGAATCGTTGATAACTGGAGATTGTTCCATGGTATAGGGAACATCTTTCTCAATTCATATCACTTATTTTTGACATTATATAGATGTGGAATTGGGTAACACTTGTTCAGTTTAATTGATCAAACATTTATTAAGCACCTCCAGTATTCAAAGCATTGTAGACACAGTAACAAAAATAAAATCACACCTACCCTCATGGACTACATTATATTATAGGGACTAAATTTATATCATGTTGACTTGTCATTTGTCTTTCTCATGAAAGTTGTACAAAATATGCAAAGAATAATTAGGCTGATCACAGTTTCTGAATACATTGTAAGTATTTTATAGATAACATTACTGTGGCAAAAGGTGAATCTAAATTTAGGTTTAAGGTTTTATGTAGACTGTGAAGAAAACAAAGGACTCCTTGCTTGGGTATTGAACCAACTACAGTACTACATTCTAGTTTTAGGGATCTCCTTTAAATCAAAGGGTAGCATATCTTAAAAGTGGCAGTTTAGAAGGGGGAAGAAGGAATGGGAAAACTTCAAGCACCTGATTCCCTGGTCTAGCACATGCCCTTCTCTGGTACAGACAGCAGCCACTACTAGACAATTTGTGTAGCGGACACACTATAGAGACTCAAAAGACTAGATTCTAGTGATTAGGTAAGAGAGCCTGACAGCATTACTCTAATTAAGAAACTGTGAAACTCGTAACTTTTATTTGTGTAAGTTTGTGAATTTGTGTATTTCCTTTCTGAATAATTTTATAACTTGTATATGTATAGATTTTGAGCCACCATTAAACCACGATTAGCTGTGGTTTAATTTGTGAAATTGCCCTTAAGTTTTTTCATTTATTCACCTGTTTTGGATGTTTGTGTTTTCAGGGCCCCCCCCCAGTACCAGTAGCTGCCACTTTAACTACTGGATCTGTGGATCTGGATCTGTTCACTGAGCCAACTACAAAAACAGAAGAATCAGCAAAGAAGCAACTGTCCAAAGACTCCATCCTATCCCTATATGGGACAGGGACCATTCAGCAACCAAGTGCTCCAGGTTGTTAAATTTTCAAAGTCGGTTTCCAAAGGTTTCAATTCCACATATGCACATTGTACTCAATGAAGGTTTTAGATATAAGTGTTCAGAAATTCATCAGTGTAATATCAGTTGTATATGTCCTCTGTTATTTAGATGTGAGATGGATGCGTTTACTCTTGCAATTTGCACAGCTAAGAAACTGAAATGAAAGCAGCATTAAATTAAAGGGCAAGTATAGGATTCAAAAATTTTATTCATTTAGAATTAACAAGCTGTTCACATATCACTTAATACAGTTTCACAAGCGTCTAGAAAATGAATTATCTTGGATTGATAAAGTTTGATTTGCATGAAGGTTATGACTGTGTACAAGGAGGAATAGTCTCTGCATGTAAACAAGACAAGTTGAATTTCATATATGTTCCAAGATTGCTTGAACATTTTAAAATCATCATCACTGTAATGAAACCAGAACTATAAGTTTTATTGTATACACAGCTTGAGTGTATTTCAGGCAGTTTCCTCTAAAACAGTGAAACCTATTCCCTATTTAAGTGGAAATTGTACTGGGAAACTTGACTCTAAAAGCTATCCATCAAAGCCAAACTGTAGTCAGCTCTCATTTATTTATACAACTGAAGAGGAATGGTGTTATGAGTAATCTTAAATAGCAGACAATCCCAAATCATTTGTGTGGGGGCTTTGTTCATGGTAATGCTAGCTCATTTTGTGTAAGCTGGTAGGGAGGTGGCTTTCTCAGAAGTGTGCTGGGATAACTAGTAAAATCAAACTAAATTGGCATTGCAGCTTTTCCTGTTAGAGAGGAACAAAATAAATAGGTATACATAATCCACAGAAGGATAATAGAAGGGTGACTGGAGTTGTTAGTTGGAAGCAGAGTGTTTAGATTCCTTTTCTTTTCCCCCCTATAACGCAGGTATGTTTATGGGCCCTTCAGCTATGCCGTTTACCTCACAAGCACCAACCCAGTTTCAAGGCTTTCCATCCATGGGAGTACCTGTGCCTGCAGCCACAGGAATCATGGGAAATATGATGGGACAGTCGGTACCCGTTATGGGACAAAATGCAAGCATGATGGTTGGCATGGCAGTGCCCAATGGGTTTGTGGGAAATGCACAAACTGGTGTGATGCCACTTCCTCAAAATGTTGTCGGGTCTCAAGGAGGAATGGTAGGACAAATGGGAGCAGCACAGAATAAGTTTGGTATCCAGCAAACTCAGCAGCCCCAGTGGAATCTCTCTCAGGTATGAGGTGTGCTTTTGCTTTCCAGCCTTTTTCCAAACTAAAGAGAGTACATTTATCTATGTTTGTTGTTGTTGTTGTTTAATTCTTAGTTAAATGCACTGCTATGAAGGAGATGCTATTTAGCCATGGGTAATATTTTAATATTTGAGTGCTCATAAAGCAAGTGAGTTTAGAAACCTATTTGGGGTATTAACATGTTGTCAACATGAATTCAGTAATCTGCTGATTCTAGATTTTCAAAAATCAGCACTGTGACAGTTTACAATAGGAAGTATCTGTCTATCCCCTGTACCTGAACTATATAGGCACTTGATATATGCTTAAATGTTTAATATGCACCTATTATAATGTCCAAGAGTAGGATTTAGATTTGTTATACAAAAGAAACCCCTTTTTTTGGCTTTTGTACCATAGGAACAAAAGTTTTAACAAACTCTTGAGATTTTTCCCTAATTGACTTTAAATGTTCAGATATTAGGGAAATGTTATTATGGTCAAATCACAAACATGTAAAAAGTCATTAGGTTAGGTCTGGTGTTTTGTATGGGATGTTACCAACCTAAACAAAAATTTTTCTTTAATGTGCAGATGTTGATCATTCATTCATGAACTGGTATTTTCCACTTATTCCACCACATTGGATAACCAATTCCAAAAGTATTTCTAGTAGTATTTCCTCTAATATTAGAACTGTTATACAAAGTATTCTCTAGTTCTGTATTGGGTGTATTTGAATAAGCCCATGCCCATTCTGTAATACCATATAGATTTTTACATGTAAGATCATACTTTTTAGACTAAAATTAACTTTTCCATTTCAGCCTCATATAAAAATCCCTCTCCTTAGCCCATTTCTAAATGTCTTCTAGCTCTATTTTGTTATTTTTCAAATGTGGCTATCCAGAGTGCTGTATTCCAGGTGTAGACACACCACAGATTCTTACAAAAGTAGGATGTTGTTTTCTTTTTCTAATATACTTCCTGGTATTGCCCAGAATTGGCGTTTGGGTTTTTTATTGGTTTGTCTCAAGTATATTGAGCCAAAAGCTACAGGACTGGAAACACTGAATATGGCAATTCCCTTTTTTAACAGTTTAAAGTCCTCATCCATCCAAGTATAGGCTTTTCCCCCATTTTGTTTTTCACACATTAAAGTTCATCTTCCCCCTTTCATACAATCATGTGAGATTTTTCTGCCTGTTAAGTCTTAATGTCATCTGCAAACTTTGGAGATGATATTGTACACTCATTCTCCTTTCCAGATAATCTGTGAAAATGTTACATAAGCCTGATATCAACACCAGTTCCTGGGGGAATAATATCCATTGTAAATATGTTTCTATCCAAAGAAGTTCCTATTTATCCCCTTGCTTTTTAAAAAGCTAGCTCTCTGTTCATAACAAAATACAGCTCTCAATTCCTTGGTAGCTTGCTGCTTCATTTTTTTTTTTCCTTTGAGCAATTTTTGGTCTGAAACCTTGTTAGAAGACTTGCTAAAGCCTCCATAATTTGGGTCTAGGTTTTTGGTCCATCCCCAAAGTTTATGCATTTTGTGACTCTTGATTTGTTAATAGGTTACAGCAACTTGCTGGGTTTAGACTGGAGACTCACCAGTCTATAGTTGCCAGGATCTCCTCTGGAGCCCTTCTTTAAGCATGGGAGAGCTTCCATTTCTAGCCAGAGAGGAGAAAGGGGGGCATAAAAGCAATAAGACCCAGAAAGTTGTGCTTTCATTATTATTTATTTACATTTTACTACCATTCTAAGTATGCTTGGTGAATGTTAATCTTTAAAGATTTCCTAAATATGAGAAGTGAGCATAAACCCAAATTGATCAGTTTGCTAGTTAGGAGATTTGACGATACAATTTTTTTAACTTAATTTTTTTTTAGAATATGTACATGATATAAATCCCTGTCTTCAAGGAATGTCAAGAAACCACAACTAGACAGACAAATGTATTGATCAGAGCAGATAGTCTCTTCACTGACAATCAGATGCTGCACTTTTGGCCTATTGAGTGTCTTACTCTTGATTCATTAGTACACAAGTACAGTGATTTTTAGTAGTGCTACTTATAATCTTTCTTGATTAAATCTGAGTTGCCCCACTTGCCATCTCTCCTAAAAAGGTGAGATGCTTGAAACAGCCGTTAGTAGAAGATGCATATAAACAGTTTTATAACACCTATCCCTTCACTGAAGAAGAGGGGAATGGATTGCTCTCATTAACTATTTGACCTGCTTTACAGGATACGAACTTGCATTATTGCTTGTCAGATTTGAGATATGCTCTGGGATATAATCCAGCCAAGTGTATAAGGTTGACTTGAAGTTTTCTATATAAAAATGTAGTCTTCAAACTAGGATCACAATAAAGCTCATCTCTTTCCAGCTGCTAAGAAGCTGAGCTTTTGCTTTTATGCACACACCACTCTGTGCTACTGACAGATGGCAGAGATACCCTCCAGTGACTACTGCCATCAGGCATGAGGTTTGGGGGAATCTTTACTGCTTTTAGTAATAGTTGAAGTAATGTGGGAAGTAATGGTTTCTACCTGCTATACCCACACACACCAATTGGGGCAAGATTTGTCTTAATCTTCACGGATCTTATACACCATGACATGTATATGATAGTCAGATCTAAAAATCTTTCTTTTTCATTAGGACATTGGTAGATAATTCAGGAAGATATCGTGTTTAAGTCCTCAAAAAAGTCACTTAACAGTTCATTAAAGGCAGAAATTTTGGAAAGGAACTATATAATACCTGTGTCATGCAGTTTCAATATATTAGGCATAATTTAGAAGCATCTGACTTGCTAAATGTTTGAATTTCTAAAACATTTAACCCTTGTTTCATCTCTGAAATTTAAAAACTTCCTATTGAATACATTGGTACATACTATTTGCAGTTTTATGGCTACATTCCCGTGGGTTGCATTTTAAAAAAAAAACGTTATATTGTCTACGATCAGAAATTGGATCCAAAAACTAAGATAAGCAGCGCCTAAACACAGAATATCCAAAAGAACCATGTCCATAAAACTCATTACAGGCAAATTGGCTTGGGTATTATTACAGAAGAACACGTACTTATTTTGTTTTGGCACACATAAATAAAAAGTGCTGCAATTGCTCACTTTGATTTAAAAGTTGATACAGGCCAATACATACAAATTTAGTACGTAATAGAGTACTGATTGGCTTTACCCAAATGTAGCAAGTAAATGAGAGTAGTCAGAGTGCTAACATTTCTGTTTTTTAATCCCAAAGCAAATAGCCTAAACCATTCTTTTCTGGCCATGTAAAACTTCTCAAGTTTTAGATTTGTTTTTATCAGGACTCTTATGCTAGACATGTCTTGTTGTCTAATGAATATTTTTTGGTGACTTTCCCCTTGGTAGCTAGTCTAAATTTTTTAGAAGGCTGTTTGATGTGAATACATTTAAACATGTGCCTTCCTTCTCACCTTCGCTTCTTTTGAAACTAAGTAAGCTTTGTTTTTCATATTTAATCTGAGGCTAAGACTTTTCAGTGTCTGTTATTGGCAGTCAAAACCACTCAGACCAACATTAGCTTACATGCAACCACTTACATGTGATTGTTTTTACACTTTTCATTGGCCTGAATATCAGTTGTCCCTGTAAAACTGTTTTTCTTTTGAAAAGGAAAAAAAACCACACACATCCTTAAAATAAAACTTATTTTAGGCTACCCTCAACATATTTGGGGGGAAAGCATAACATATGTTATGACAGTGTAATACATAAATTGCCACAGAATGTGTACTATGTATTTCCTTTCTGCTTAATTACCAAACTACTTCTGTGTTTCACAGATGAATCAGCAAATGGCTGGAATGAACATCACCAGTGCTAGCAGTGCTGTGGGTTTTGGCCAACCCCCCAGTACAGCAGCAGGATGGTCTGGAAGCTCATCGGGTCAGACTCTCAGCACACAGCTGTGGAAATGAAAACTGCAATAGGAGTTTCATCCAGAATTATCACCACCTGACATTCCTTGATAAATGCATCTAGTTCCCCTGTTTATTCATGTACAGATTCTTTTTCCCCCCCAGTTGTTCATATTAAGAATTAACTGACTGACCGTATTGGTCTCTATTGATTAAATTTGATGTGGTAAAAAGCAGGTTGAGAATCCATATTGAGGTCACTGGCAGCTTTTTTCATACTACACATGATTTCATAAACCATATTCTTGGAGAAGCTGCTTAGTCAATTCCCATAATCAGTTTTATTCTCAATAAGATTATAGGTCTACTGTTTGCATATAAGGGAAGTAGTTATCATGTTAGTAATACCTCTAACAGTGTAAACCCTGCCCCCAAATTAGTCAGTAATCCTGTAGAAAGGTACTATATGAACAGATGTTTAACCATATAAATAGAATGTAAATGTATCACTGAGCACTGTTTTCTAGTGTATCAAAATTCTTTTATTTCATCATTCATTTCACTGTGATGTTGTTATGGTGTGCTTAACAGGGAACATGGTTAGTGAAAGGAAGATAAACCTGGATGTTACCACAAAATTTAATCTGCTCAAAGAATAAAGAAATCCCGAGTATTTCCTCTGAGTCTCCTATAATTGGGATCACTTCTTGTGTACATAGTGCTAAGCTGCAGAGCACTCCTTGCACTAGATGCATACAGGGTATCTACAAAATAGTACTTTTAATCCTTGAAGGGTATATCCAGGTTTATGACAGTAATTGTGTTTACATTTTATGGTGCCTAGTATTGACAAAATGTTATTTCCCTATATTAAACAGATGAATCCATCAACCTTTCTTGTGGGTTTTATTTCCTTAGCTACATTTTGCCACTGATCTTGAAGGAATCACTTAGTGCTGAGAGGTCAGAATAGCACTATCACTGATTTGTTCCTAAAAACCTGTTCAGTTTCACTAATTGAGATTGGGGGGGGCAAGAAAAAAAAGACACTACATAAAATGCAAGTAGTTGAAAATGTTCCCTTGCCGCACGCATCATTCTCTCTTGATATAAAGATCTTTCAGGTGACTGTATGTAACTGAAATGGTGAGGGGAAACATGCAAATCGAGGGAAGACAAAACATCCATTTTTACACCATCTGATTTGTATTTATGCAGATGTCCATTGAGCAATACCTGAATGCTTTTGCAGCCTAAGCTTCAGGAGGCATCCTTTGCCTCACCGTCTGTCCCTCATGGTTTCCCTCTTCAGGTTAGACCTCAATTTTAACAGTGTCCAGGTGATACTTTGGCTCATTAGCTAGATTGACCTTTTCTGTTCGAGTGTGCCATACCAGAACCTAAGGGAAAAGAAAAATGTTAGTTTAGGGCAGGGCCCCTAATTGCAATTCAATTCAAAGTTAAGCAACACTGGTAAAATAAATGAATACCTTGGTGCAGTTGTTTGCTTTTGGTTCCAGTTCTTCAATTGTTGTTATCTGTTTTAGAAAATCAGACTCTTGCATCCCTGGCTGGGACCCATGGCGCTTAAATACAGCTTTTGGATTGGACAAGATCACTTGAAGGCTCACAGCAAACCCTTCATGAAAAGTAAAAAGGATTTGGAGTAAAAAACTGGAGTGTTTGGATTTTTATCCATCTAAACTTTGTTAAAATGTACCTTTACCACTCCTCAGTCCAGTACCCTTTTAGCCCTTTTTCTGTAAACTTAGTCACAAAAAGACACTAACTCAGAGATTCATCCAGAATGCAATCCTGTATATCTCATGTCTATCTCATCTTCTTGTGTACACACACACAGAATTTTCATAGTTCTGTTTCACTTTAAGAAATCTTTCTGTACCCACCTCTAATAGTATAGGATACAAACAGGAATCCAGATGCATTTTGGGTTCCCAAAACTCTCCGAAAATAAATATAAACCAATAGTGGCCTGAAAAGTTCTACCATGACCTCAGCTTCCAGAAGTGAGGGCATCTCAACTTTAAGAAAAAAACAAAAACTGCCTAGATATGATCTGAAAGACAGTGTGGTATAAGGGATAGAGTCAGGAAGACCTGGGTTCAAATCCCACATCTAGTATTTAATAGCTGTGTGACCTTGGGCAAGTCACTTCTGATGTCCTCTAAGTTTCCTTTCAGTTCTAGATTCATGATTTGTATGCCCAAGCTCATTAGTACTAGTGAATTCAGCTGATGAAACCTGAAATTCCATCAGTATGATCTATGATTTCATTGTGTACTCTGCATCAAAATTAGTATTTCTTATTTAGTTAAAAATCAAAGAACTGTGCTAAAAGAAAAAAAATTAAATATTAAAATAGTGTAAGTTCGGGGGCAGCTAGGTGGCACAGTGGATACAGGAGGACCTGGGTTCAAATCCGGCCTCACACACATAACACTAGCTGTATGACCCAGGGCAAGTCACTTACCCCATTGCCTAGCCAAAAAAAAAGGAAAAAAAATAGTATAAGTTCATGTCCATTATAGATTTCTATCTAACTAGCCTGAACTTTGAGAAAAGTTGAATGTAAAATGGAAAGATCATACAAGTTCATACTTGTTTCTGGTCACAGAATTTTATAGCTGGAAGGAAATGTCAAGATGAGTTTTTTTCACCACTTTTGAATAACATTATACTGTAATTTATCACACAGTGGAACAATTATACAATGAAAATCTGAGTTCTCAAAGAATCCATTAATACTTACTGTGCAGTGCATCTCCAATCCAAATGAATCAGTGTAATTCAAACAAAAATGGAACATTTTGAAGGCCCACTGATTCAAGTGCTTTATAATGCATCCTACCAAGTACTTAAACAATTGGAAATTAGTCAGCACTGTCAGAAATTCCATGCTTCCCTTCTCTCTTTCATGCCATCTGGTTCAACATGAAGTTGGGGGGGGGGGTGGAAAACATATGCTGAGAGGTAAAACTATTTAATAATCAGAAAACAGATAACTTTTGTGATACCTAAAACACTGAGTTAACTTGACCTTCTTGAGCTACTTTTAGGAAAATGTACCTATGCTTTTTTTCCCCACTTAATATTTTATTTTTTCCAATTACATGTAAAGATAGTTTTCAACATTCACTTTTATAAGATTTTGATTTCCAAATTTTTTCTCCCTCCCCTGTCCCCGAGACGGCACGCAATCTGATACAGGTTATACATGTACAATCATATTAAACATTTTCACATTAGTCACCTACACTAACTTAATGAGCCTTTTCCTGAACTGTCCACATCGAAGCAGTCAGCAAGTAATGCAAAATGCACTCACAACAGAAGAGATAACATATAGTGAGAATGATCTACTCTTAAAATAACCCAGTTGCCTACCAGTATCTGTTCTCTTTCTCTTCAGTGCCTATATACCCAATTTGTGCCAGGCAGGCAGGGAAAATCACTTGACTTCTCTGGGTCTCAGTTTTCTCATCTGTAAAATGAGGGGTTCAGGAGCAGTATATGACATATATTTGACAACTCTTAAAAAAATAGTTACAATGAGAACAAGCATGCAACATTTATGTTGAAGTAACTATCCTCAGATTCCTCTGTTTTAGAATGTTTCAAGATTTCAATTTATTTGGAAGGGACAAAAACTTAAAAAGACTTTAAGACACTTCTAAAGCAACATCTGTATCATCAGTGTTATACAAGTGAGTGAAAGCAAGCAAATGTTTAGGGAACACAAAGTAAAGAAGTGAAGAAAATCACACGTGAGGCCTTAGGACAAACACAACCGGATGGATTTTATAGATGTCACCCCCTTAAGTCTAGAATAAGCAAGTCAGTCTATTCCACCTTTCTCCAAGTATGGTATAGACAATGCCATGGGGAGTGAGCCAGTACTCCAACTCCATTTAGCTTTGGACTCTTCTACCCATTACCAAGGAGTCATTGTCATATCTACATGCAAAATGGAATAAAACTTCAATTGTTGAGGCAAAGGCTGGGGGAGGGATACCAGCTAATTTCTCATTGGTATCAGAGGAAGAGCCTACTGTTGGAAACTGAAAATAAATACATCTGTCTACTTTCTTACCTCAGTAGCATATAGTCTACATAAACCTTTCTTTGGAGATTAAGGCCATCATTGTAAATACCAATAGTGTACAATAGTGTAACTCTAGAATAGTAATGACAACTTATTTCAAGAGTTTAAGGTTTATAAAGTGGTTTCCTCACAAAGTCTGTGAAATAATGCAGACATCATCCCTGTTTTACTGATATGGAAACCGAAGCTTAGAATGGTGGCTTGCCCATAATCACACCACTCAAGAGGTGTACTGAGACAGCCATAACTTGGAAATATTTAAAAAGAAAGAAAGAAGCCCCTGAAACAAACTTGTTTTCCTATTATTAATTTTGCCACTTTTCCTCAAAGTCAAGCATAAGGAAGGAATGGAAAGATAGAATTTTTGAGTAATTAAGATTTTAGTTAGTGGAGAACTAATTATAATCAAGATTTTTATCCTACAAGAATGTCTTTAATAGAAGTTTTCTTGCTAGTGTTCTTACTTTTCCATTCTTATTACATCAGAGACTCAAGACCTAGTCCACCCTCCCAGCCTGTTAAATACTGACCCTCCCCCCACCAAAAAAACCCAAAAACATCAAAAAAATCTGATTTAAGAGAATAAAGATTTCTCTAGTGGGGGTGGGGGGGTGAGGCAGTATTAGTCACTTTCACAAATGGAAAACCTGAAGCAGATGGCCTACCCAAGAGGACTAGAGCTCCAGATTCTTCTGAAATAAACAACATTTGTACCACAACTAGATTCTAAGCTGCTTGAGGGCAGGGACTCTGTCATTTTTTCATTTTTATAAATTCCCTCATGAACACCACAGTATAAAAATGAATAATTCATACAGTGTTTTAAAAACTTGCAAAACACTTTGTTACCTCAAATCCTTACCACAACCCTGTGAAATGCTACTATTATTATTCTCATTTTGCAGATAAGGAAACTGAGGCTGAAAGGAGTAAACTTGCCCATGAACATATAGCTATTAATAGTTTTGAGTCAGGACCTGAACCCAGGTTTCCTGACTCAAGTCCAGCACTATCAACTATATCACCTAGATGGTCACAGTTCAAAAGAAAAAAAAAATTTTCATATGGCCCCAAAGGCTGTAGATGCCCCAAGGCATGTCATAAAAGACATTATCCATGACCTGTATATGCTAGGAAAAGGAGATGGACTGGTCATGTTGTCAGGCTAACATGGCATATGTGTTGTATCGGTGTCAACAAACTATCAAAAGAACCAGAGGAAGATCTTTATGGAAATACATGAAAAAGACCTGTATGAGAAAAACAAAGTATTTTCGTATATCTCTAGGAGCACCAAGAACACAATACTTTGCAAATAGCAAGCACATTTTATCAATAGTTGTCAAACTGAATCAACATTTTACAAAGCACTTTCTTACTTGCCTTTGTAAAAGACATTTTTTTTAGTATAACCCTTTGGGATAGGTCGGCAGCTATCACTGAGACTTGCCCAAGATCACAAGGCTAAATTAGTGAAGCTTAGACCAGAACTGGAGTATTCTTGCTTTGACTACAATATACTTTCTGGTATAACCACCTGGACTTTCTCTAAACTTGTAACTGGGGCAGCAGATCATTGGTGCAGCCCTCACTTTTACCAGTACAAAGCTCCAGACCCAGCCAATAACTAGGCAATGGTCTAGAGTCAGGGGTGGGGAACCTGTGGCCTCAAGACCCCACGTGATCTTCAAGGTCCTTGGGTGCAGCCTTTTGAGTCCAGGTTTTATGGAATAAATCCTTTTGTTAAGGGGATTTGTTCTGTGA